GGAGAACTTCAGTCTGTAAGAACTTGAGATCAGAAGAACAAGATGATGGCTAGCTACCTCTGCTAGCAACTCTGAGAAGATAACTACCTGGCAAACTCACTGGAAGAGATTTGTAGTTGTGCCCATTCCAAAGAAAGATGACCCAACGAAAAGCAGAATTCATTGGACGATATCATTGCTATCCCATATGAGTAAAGTTTTACGAAAGAAGATGCAAAAACCGTTGCAATCATACATTGACGCAGAACTTCCATAGGTTCAAGCCAGATTCAGAAAGAATGTGGAATGAGGGGTATCATTGCTGACATCAGCTGGATCTTGGCTGAAAGCAGAGAATACCAGAAAGATGTTTGCCTGTGCTTTATTGAATATGCAAAAACTTTTGATTATGTGGATCATGACAAGCTATGGACAACATTGAAAAGTATGAGTATTCTGAAACACTTAATTGTGCTCATGAGAAACCTGTACATAGAACAAGAGGCAGTTGTTCAAGCATAACAAGGGAACACCAAATGGTTTTAAATTAGGAAAGGTGTGCGACAAGATTGCATTCTTTCATCATACTTATTCAATCTGTGTGCTGAGCAGATAATCCAAGAAGCTGGATTATATGAAGAAAACCATGGCATCAGAATTGGAGGAAGACTCATTAACAATTTGTGATGTGCAGATAATACAACTTTGCTTGCTAAAAGTGAAGAGGACTTAAAATACTTACTGAGGAAGATCAAAGACCATAGCCTTTTGTATGGATTGCATCTCAATGTAAAGAAAACAAAAATCATGACCACTGGATCAATAAACATCCATATAAAAAGAGAAAATGTTGAAATTGTCAAAGACTTCATTTTGCTCAGATCAACCATCAACATTGATTGAAGCAGCAGTCAAGAAATCAAGTGCATTGGGCCAATCTGCTGCACAAGACCTCTTTAAACTGTTAAAGAGCAAAAATATCAGTTTGAGGACTAAGGTGCACCTGACCGAACCACATTTGCATGCAAAAGTTGCACAGTGAATAAAGAAGACCGCAGAAGAACTGATGCATTTGAGTTATGGTGTTGTAGGAGAATATTGGACTTCTGCTGTGGTGCTGCTGATTAATGTGGTAAACTGCAAAGTCAGTTTGGGCCGTAAAGGTGTGCGCTTCCAACTCACCAGCTGCTCGCCGGAGACCCACAGGGTCGCTATAAGTCGGATCCTGACTCGATGGCACTTAGCAACAACAACAAGGAGAATATTGAAAGTACCAAGGACTGCTCAAAGAACAAATAGATCTGTGTTGGAAGTAGTGCAGTCATAGTGCTCCTTGGAAGCAGGATGGCCAGACTTTGTCTCTCATACTTTGGAGATATTTCCAGGAGGGATCAGTCACTGGAGAAGGATATCATGTTTGGTAAAGTGGAGGGCCAGAGAAAAAGAGGAGGACCCCCTAGCGAGATGGATTGGCACAGTGGCAGCAGCAGTGGGCTCAAACATAGTAATGATTGTAAGGTTGGCTCAGGACAGGGCAGTGTTTCATTCTGTTGTGCATAGGGTTGCTATGAGTTGGCACCAAACAACAAGTCTGAACGGGGCTCACACTAGGAAGTCCTAGATAGAGTGGGAGAGGAATGTGGGACAGAACTCAAAATCATAAAAATGATCAGGTTTATTAGTCTGATAGAAACAAGTGGAGCCCAAGTCTATGGCCCTTGTTGTTAAGTAATGCCTGCCTAGTGAATTCTAATGCATAGTGACCCTGAATAGGGTTTCCATGGAGCGACTGGTGAGCTTAAACTACAGACACTACAGTTCAAACCGACCTGTGGTTAAACCGACCTTGCAGACCAGCACATTATATATATATATATATATATATATATATATATATATTACAAAGAATACAACCTTGTCGCACACCTTTCTTAATTTTAAACCATTCAGTGTTCCCATGTTCTGTTCGAACAACTGCCTCTTGGTCCAGGTGCAAATTCCTCATGAGCACGATTAAGTGTTCCAAAATACTCATACTTCGCAATGTTGTCCATAGCTTGTCATGATCCACACAATCAAAAGCCTTTGCGTAGTCAATAAAGCACAGGTAAACATCTTTCTGATATTCTCTGCTTTCAGCCAAGATCCATCAGACATCAGCAATGATATCCCTCGTTCCATGGCCACTTCTGAATCCAGCTTGAACCTCTGGAAGTTCTATGTCAATGTATTATTGTAGCCATTTCTATATTACCTTTAGAAAAACTTTATTCACATGGGATATCAAAGAGATTGGCTGATGCTTTCCGCATTCCATTGGGTCACCTCTCTTTGGAATTGGCACAAATATGGATCTCTTCCATTCAGTCGGCCACATAGTTGTCTTCCAAATTTCTTGACAGAGATGAGTGAGTGCCTCCTGTGCTGCCTCACTTTCTTGAAAGATTTCAGTTTTGATTCCATCAATTCCTGGTGCCTTGTTCTTTGCCAATTCCTTCAGTGCACCTTGGACTTCCTCATTCAGTATCATTGGCTCTTGATCATATGCTACATCTTGAAATGGTTGAATATTAACCATTTCCTTTTGGTACAGTGACTTTGTGTATTCCTTCCATCTTGTCTTGATGCTTTGTGCATCATTCAATAATCTGCCCAGAGAATCGTTTAATAATGAAAGCTGAGGCTTGAATTTTTTCTTCAGTTTCTCCAGCTTGAGAAATGTTGAGTGTGTTCTTCCTTTTTGGTTTTCTGATTCCAGATCTTTGCACATTTTGTTGTAATATTTGGCTTTATCTCATCGAGCTGATCTTTGAATTTTCTGTTCATCTCTTTTACCTCCTCATTTCTTCCATTTGCTTTAGCATCTCTAACTGGAGAGCAAATTTCAGTGTCTCTTCTGACATCCATCTTGACCTTTTCCTTCTTTCTTGTCTTCTCAATGACTTTTTGCTTTCTTCATGTATGGTGTTCTTGATGTCATCCCACAACTCTTCTGCTCTTTGGTCTTTAGTGTTTAATGTATCAAATCTGTTCTTCAGATCTCTAAATTCAGTTGGGATATATTTAAGTTCATACTGTGGCTCTCGTGGACTTATTTTCATGTTCTTCAACTTCAGTTTGAATTTATATATGAGTAATTAATAGTCTGTTCCACAGTCTGCCTCTGGCCTTGTTTTCACTGATGATATAGAGCTTTTCCATCATCTCTTTCCACAGATGTAGTCGGTTTGATTTCTGTATATTCCATCTGTTGAGGTCCATGTGTATAGTCGTCACTTATGCTATCTAAAGAAGATATTTGAAATAAACAAATCATTGGTTTTGCAAATTCTATCATGCATTCTCCAATATCATTTCTGTCACCAAGACCATATTTTCCAACTACTGATCCTTTGTCTTTGCTCACAAGCTTTGCATTCCAATCACCAGTAATGATCAATACATCTGATTGCATATTTGATCGATTTCAAATTGAAGAAGTTGGTAGAATTCTTCTATTTCATCCTCACAGGCTTTACTGGTTGGTGCATAAATTTGAATAATAATGGTATTAACTGGGCTGCACTGTAGGCGCATGGATATTATCCTAACATAGGGTTGTACCTCATGACTGATCTGGATATGTTGTTTTTTTTTTTTTTTTGACGATGAATGCAACACCATTCCTCTTCAATTTGTCATTCCTGGCATAGTAAACCATGTGGTTGTCAGATTCAAAATGGCCAATATCAGTCCATTTCAGCTCACTAATGCCTAAGATATGGATGTTTATGTGTTCCATTTCATTTTTGACAACTTCCAATTTTTCCAGGTTCATACTTCATACATTCCATTTTCCGATTGTCAAAGGATGTTTATAGCTGTTTCTCTTCACTTTGAGTTGTGCCCCATCAGCAAATGAAGGTCCCATGGGGTTTTCTCCCATGGCTTTACTCCAGTCATGTCATCATGGTCAACTCTACTTTGAGGAGGCAGCTCTTCCCCAGTTGCATTTTGAGTACCTAACAACCTGAGGGCCACATTTCCTGGCACTATATCTGACAGTGGTTCTCTGCTATTCATAAGTTTTCAGTGACTAAATATTCGGAATTAGTTCATTACTCTTTCTTGGTAGTCTCTCTTTGTCTGGAAGCGCATATGAAACCTGTCCACCATGGGTGACCCTGCTGGTATTTAAAATATCGGGGGCATAGCTCTCAGAATCACAGCAACTCACAAGCCACCGCAGTATGACAAACTGATAGACCAGTGGTGGCTGTTTGGTTTTATGTGGAAACTGTCACTTTAAATTTTGAGGAAATCTGTGCACATGCATAGTAGAACCCTCCAGGGGTGGGGGTGGGGTGTCCATTCGCTCAGGAATCCCCTCTAGTCACCAGAATGGAGGTGCGCAGAGAGCAAGAGACCAATAAATGGACACACACACACACACACACAAAAAGAATGTCCACACCCGTATCTCCGTGGTTCTGTCAGGTGTTCATGGCTGTTCTGATCCTACCTCTGCTTGTTCTCTCTGGGAATAGCTGAGCACCTTGAATTAGAACGCAATGGATTTCTTGATTCTGCTACAAATTCCCTTATCTGTAAGCCTTTCAAGCTTCTAAATATTCCTTTATATGTTGTTTAGAGTTCTAGCACCATCCCCTGAACTGGCTTGGTCCAGTATTCTGTGTTGTTGGTGACAGAGCTCCTCACTGCACGTCTACCCCACGTTGCAACCCATATACATATGCAACATATTAGAAATATGTTTGCATATTTTATGATATGCATATAAGCTACTAACTGTGTGTGTGTGTCTATTTGAAGTTTTCCCAGTAAGAGAAAATTATGTTTTCCCATCATAAAAATTATTTTGACTGGAAACTCTCATTTTGCTGCTACATATTAATTAGGAAGTTGATGAAATAAACCTGATGACCAATCTGGAAGATTAATTGAAAGGTAGGTGAGGATAATAGCAGCAGTGTTAAATGTTGTATTTTCAGAAGTATTGACTATTCTTTCTCTCGTTACAGATCCCTTCAAATTGACTGGGTATCTCCTGTGAGGCCAAATGGCATCATTCTTGGATATGCTCTTTCCCGGAAAACATGGTATCCATGCTCTGTAGCCCGGAAGTTGATGAAGAACAACAGTGATGTGTGCATGGGGGTGAAATGTCAAAAACCAGAGACTATCTGTGGAGACATGTGCTGTTCTCCTGAAGCTAAGGTAAATCTTTTTAAACTAGTCAGTGAAATATGCTTTTCTCAATAAACATTCCAGGTAAAATGACTTGCTTCTTAAACCACCATTTATCATAGTCACTACTTCCTCTACTCTATCAAGAAGAACCCATAGAGATGTAAGGATGCTTATAAAAAATCCTATCATCCTCATGAGCATTTTAACCACCTCATTTTTCATCACCTTCACAGGAAATATTAGTTTATTGGAATATAAGGAACCTCCCCAATTCATATCTGATTGAGTGACTTGAATTTTTTTTTTACATCAAATCCATTCACCTAAAAATGTGTATATGTCTACCTGACACAGGTGAGAAATTGTGGATAGGACCTTTTGTGGTTTGTCATAAGTATTTTTATATTATGGTCATTTGCAGATTAATGCTTATATTAATTGCCGTTTAGGTATCAGATCAATAGGACAGCCAGACAGAGGAGTTTGTAAATCACTTTTATTGACAAATGATGAGGAAATCCTTATTTGAAGGTAAGATTTCATATAATGAAGTAATAATGTTTCTGTTTGTCAACAACAGCATCATATATTCAATGGCAAAAACTACTTATAAATTCATAAGATTCACTGCAAAAGAACACAATTATTAAGGAAGTGAGCTACTGAAATGATCTGGAATGAAAGGCAAACTATTACGACTGACATGAGTGTGGCAGTGGTTAACATCTAAAAAATGTCATAAATCTAGTAGCACTGACCAGTTATACATATGTGTGTGAGTGTACATATACGAAGGGGCTTCAAAAAGCTTGTGGAAAAATTACATTATCTTTAAATCTATTTTTCCATTAATTTTTTGGAGCTCCCTACCACTCCTCAGAAATCCCTATACTGCATTGCTATGGGTCGGAACCGACTTGACAGCACTTAACAACAATGTGTAGAGTCCTGAGGTCCTAATTTGCTGGACTGCAAAGTCGGTTTGAACCACAAGGGCAGCAGTTCAAGCTCACCAGTCGCTCTTTGGAAACCCTATACCCGGTTGCTATGGGTTAGAACCCAACTCCATAGCACTTAACAACAACAATGTATGTATATGATAGCAGTATA